GTATGAATTGTGTCTGTGCGGTGGCATCACGACTTCGGGAACCCATAGACATTCAAAACATCTATAATTGGTGACACAAGTGACTGAGTTCCCATGGCAACATGTAAGAGCAGGGATGCCAAGGAAGCCTTGTGCGCCCATAGCCGGCCAAGGATGTTTGACAGATCTGGGAGACGGCCACCTATCTGGCAATGTTAAAAAGATCCTGAAAAAAGACCCAAAGTACAGTGTTGAACCACGTCTGACACGACATGAAGGCTGTAGTGCATCGAATTTCCAAAAAGACTGATGCCGACAAGAAAGAGAGGTCTGTGTGTTCTGGAAAGACTGGGCTGTTTGACGCGTTGTTCCAAAGCAAGATCCTGATCCCCTGATGAAAGAAACTTTAACAAAGTGGTGTAATTTTTTCAGAAAAATAGACTAAGTTCACTACAGGCTGACAGGGATGTTGGTATGCCCCAGGAAATGTTTGGGAGTAAGTCTTGTGCCAGTGTTTCTAAGAACTTCAAACCGAGTTTTCTCGACCGAAAGAAAATTAAAAACGCCACTTTGGAGCTGTGCACCCGCCTTGAGTTGCACTACCTGGAAAGGGGCATAAAGAAAAGCAAAGTTGGGCACCTGGAAGTCTTTTTCACGGTTAGAACCCATAAGCAGGGTTCACCTTTTAAGATCCATTGTCACCGGAAGAAGGACAAGGCAACGGTTGGTGAGTCAATAACTTCCGAAGCAATTAACTACCCTGCAACTTTATGAGCCATTTCTGCTAGAGATCTCACAGCGATATCATTGTGGACCCCTACAAGGCCGCTGAAGTGAGTTAAGAGGTGTGCATGCGCTGCACAAGCACACTAATAGTAAAATGAAAGTTTCAAACTTGCAAAAGTTCATGTCCGAATCTATAAAGCAGCCGTTAAAACAACCCTAGGATAATGCAGGATTTTAATACATAAATATATACAAATATTTAACATATATTAAAAACACCTGACACAATTTCTTTTTAATGGGCACAATTTACACAAGATAATTTAAGGTAAAAAGTTGGTCCATAGAAAAGCCCCCCGTCCTCAGAAAATAAACAATACAACAGAACATTGTAGGCTGACATGTTCTGATCTGAATAACAAACACTCATGGCAAGTAATAGGAGAGGCATTCAGGGATGGGGTCGAAAACTACCAGAAGGGCTCTAGTCAGCCCCCATTCAGTTTTCTAAAAACAAATGGCTACATAAAAGAGGCTTTGCTGGACAATGTCAATGTTGTCAAGGGATTTCTATCAGCGTGCAATTGTCCAACACTGCGAGTGAAAAGGTAGCAGGGAATAATGTAGTTATGACGAATTAGCATAACCATTATAGCAAATAAAATTAGCTTAGCCAAAAAGGCTGTGAAGCAGTCAGAAAAAAAGAAACTCCCCCTCAGTTCCTCCTTTCCATTTGCGAAAGAGGAAGACTCCCCTGCTTCCAGCAGAAAGTAGTTCCGAGAGCAGCACATATGGGGTGAGGAGGATAGAGAGTGCAAAGACAATGTGCCATGATCATTACAAGTTTTGCTTGCTCTCCAGGTCTTCAGGGCAGCTACAGCGCCTCAAGGCGGTGCTAAACTACCTCGACGAATCGGAGGTCCACGCACAAGGGAGCGGCTTTTTAATAGAAGTACTGTGGAGAGACTCCGGGTCACATTGACAAGCACGCAGGACCTTCTCAAACACCCGAAAGAAAGTGGGGCACACATTTTTTATGATGTGCCGAGGAAGAGCCAACGTGGAGCGCCTTTTCAGCATCATTCGACACTTTTCCGACTCCAACGAGCACTGGTTCAAGCCGGTTTCTGAGTATTGCAAGTGCTCCAGAATTTGACAGTGCTACAAGACCCCCAGAAGGAAACACACCACCAGCTGGAGTCAGCACAATCCTCAGCTGCTCCTCTCCTCCTGCTCCCAAGGAGGAGTGCCTAGTGAAGCTGGTCGATTGGGCTATCGAAAGAGGCAATTTGCAGGCAGCAGAGAAAGTGCTGGATCACCTTTTCTATGCGGCCCAAAAGAGTTACGGGAGGCTTCTCTATAACATGGCGGGCTATGCAGCTTGCAAAAACAATGCTGAAAAGCTCATGCGGCGAGTGCGAGACGTCTTGTCTGGTCGCTGCAGATGCAGCACCAGAGGGAATCTCTTCTGCAACGCACGTGCTTGACCGGAGAGTCCTTCTGTATTCCTCCAGGAGGCTCTTTGACCTCATCAGCACCTTCAAGGACTGAGCATGATGGCAGAACTTGAAACCAAGCACCAGCTTTTTCAAGCACACCTAGTTTTAAGGTGTATCCACACGAAAAACCAAATCGCTGTTTTGGTCCGCGGGCCGCGCATCACATGATCTTACGTCATTGGTTTGAGAAATGCCAAGCGACTTTTCTCGCCCGGACTATGGTGGCGGACCACGGCGCTTTTAGTATAGTTGAAGTGCTAAGTCTGGCAACAAGCTGACTTTTATTGTTCGGATTGGAATACAAATCCAAAGTCGTTTTCTTTCGGCACTATTAAAGACAAACTTTTGCTGTGCGACAATGGTGGCATGGTGTGACGATGAAACTTTTTATTTCATCGCGCTCGTTCTGTGGGACAGTAGTCGCGACGACTACTCAAATAATCATCTAAAGATGTCCCTATGGCACAACATCGCCCATGCGATGACCGAAGGTTGGCCCGCGTACACTCCCTACAGCATGGGTATGTCTACACTACGATTGTAAACCTGAGACTGGGGCGGAAAAGAGAACACAACAGAAGGTAGTAAAAGAGGAGGCAACGCCTCAAGACACCTCCTCTTTTACTACCTTCTGTTGTGTTCTCTTTTCTGCCCCAGTCTCAGGTTTACAATCACGTTCACCTTACACCAGCTCGCCTGCACTCCGACTATTTTTTTTACTATTTTTTCGTCTACACTATGTCTGAATTTTCTGCCGTACTGTTGAAGCGTTGGTATACCTTCGAAATGCGCAACAGAAAAAGTAGAACAGGGGTCTCACAGGCGCCGCGATAAGGCAGAATAATGACAGTTTTCATCATAAGCGGTTCTCCAAACATAATATTGCATAGAGCGTTGTACTATCCATTACCTTAAAAATAAAAGTAATAATAATATTATTCTTTCTTTTACATGCCCCAAAACAACCACAATCACTCTGGTGCACACAAGTAAATATAAACTAGAACTCTACCAAAATTCACGCTGTATCGAAAGGGGAGAATCCCACATGAACAAATGGCAAAGAACCTTCACATGAACTATAGTACACAGTTATTAGTTCTAACTCCCTGCAGAAGACAGGAAGATCACACATTTATTTATTATTACAGACTCATTAAAGACGCTATTTGGCAACAAACGGAGGACATATCAGAAGGAGAAGCAGAAGACGACAAAAACAAAGAGTGGCCATGGCTCGGAGGACATGTACACAGGGAAGTGGCGCTTCTTCCGTGTTACACGGTTCCTGGACGCTGTGCCGCAGCCTGCCCATCGCTCCTTCAGCGACGTGTTCGACGAACACACAGAAACCGTAATTACATTATCATATGAGAAAGTTAATATCAGCCTGCTATTTAGTAAAAGCGAGTAGAAAGCAGGGATGAAAAATTAATGCACTTACTGCAAGGGTGGAGCCGAGCTCGACAAAAATAAACGATAAATAATCCCCGGAGCAGGTATTATTTATTGTTTATTCGTTTTGCATGCTCTTCATGCTCGTACGTATGCAAACTTTGGTGTCAATAACTATAGGCATTTACTTCCTTAAAAAGTAAATAAATAATCATCCCACAGCCAATATGTATGACCGCTTTATTTGAATTATAAGCTGAGGAATGCATAGTTTGCCAGAAAAACAAAGCAACATTAAAATACTTGTCTTTTTTCTGATCTTTCTTCTCTCCTTATCTTTTCAACTTTTTCTCCCTCGAAATGAAATCCTGTGAATGCCACTGCAACACACAATATCTCCAACACAGCTGTGCTTGAGACCTTGCGTGTTGCAGCGTCCTTCATCGTTCCCCCAGTTTGGGGGTTTTTTTTTCTTCAAATATTATGTTTTGTTACTGCGAAAAGAGAAAAAGAAAATGAAAGATTAATAAAACTGAAGTCATCACTGCTTGATATGTAACGTTACTGCTGTGCCACCACATTACAGATTGAAGAATGCATTGAGCCACCCACGCCAACCACAGTCGGAGACGAAAGCTGGGAGCACAATGAGCAAGAAGACTCAACGAGTAACCAGCCGCCCTCTCCTGAGTTTAGCAGAGTTCAGCGGCAGAGCTCAAAGCGGTCAAGGCAGCCCAAATCCTGTGTCGTCAAATGACATATGGGCTCAGAAACAAGCTGTTCTTAAAAAAATAGCATGTGCTGTTCAAGAGCCGCCCGAAGCAAATGATGCCGCAGTACATTTTGCTAAGACTGTGGCAGCTCTACTAGGCCATTCAGCATAGAAAAGCTTGTTATGTGCCAAAAATACTTGATGTGATCGTAAAGCATGTTTCAAAGTAAATAAACAAAGACGTGCTCAGTGTGTTGCTTAATTTACAATGCGTGTTTATGTGCTGGTTCTTATCAATGTATACAACCTCTTGCTGCCCCAGCACAGCACCTGTCCTCATGCACAGCAGCAACACACACACACTAGGATGGTTGATTGATTGATTTTTTTTTTTGGCACATCAGCATGTAATTTATGCCACTAACCATAATTAAAGATCCATATGGCTCACAGTAAACAAAAGCTGAAAGTACCAGATCCCTCATTTTAATGTTATATCTCTAAAAAAATAATCACTTGGGAAAGCCAGAAAACGATCTAATTGCTTTGCGGCGATTTCTACACTTCATCTATCTGGAGTAGGTAAACGAGGTTTGTAAAACATCTCTAGAACTGAACAGTAGAGTTTGTTGATATAATATACTTGAATATTTAAAGCGCAGTCATGTAGAATAGAAAACATGACACAGATGACGTGTCTGTTTGCTAAACAAACAGTTTTCTAAAATGCGCATTCGACCAGCCCACCTCAATATTTTAGTACAGTTTCTTCTGCAAATGGGTCCCTCTCCGTGTGTATCCAATCCAGACCGTTTCTTACTATATTAATTTAATCGCTTGACCTTCGTGCTATTTATTTCAAAAATGCTCGAAACTCAGACGGGATTTTCCTGCCTTTTTTGTCGAACGCCACTCTGACAAAACTCCGTTGTCAGCGGTGGCGAAAACTTACGTTGCGGACGTCGAGTGGAGCAACACGAGCAATGCCAACTTCATATCACAATTTCCTTTTGCTTTTTTCTCTTTGTCGCACCCGAGGTAAAAATTTTTGTTTTAGTGCAAAGAAGCTTGGGGGTATTTTTGAAAAAGTGAATAGCGCCGAAGCACTCAAGTTTCGCCGCCAACTACAGCGCCATTCCAGCCCCTGGTGGGACGCTATCATCCGAGTGGTTCGCGTTTTTCTTTTTGCCTCGACGCCATCGCCAGTTGACTACGCTTATCGAGGCAGTTGCGATGGAAAAAAAAATGCGCGCCCAGCACTAAGTACTGCTGTGTGGTCGGTTGCAGTAATAACCTCCGTGACTGTAGTAATAGCAGGACTAGTGGCCAACCGTTGAAGTTCTATCGGTTTCCAGGAAAGCCATACGAGTGTGCTCGACGCCAAGCCTGGATCGTGGCAGTGCGCCGGCAAAAGTAAGCTTTTCTTTTGTTGATGCATGAATTTCGCTCAATATACCGAAAGAGAAACGAGGTGGAATCCTTTTCAGAACATAAACAGTGTGAATACCAAACGCGGCAAAGCAATTTGGCCATGCGTGTATGACTGGATATCCCATTTATGTTGCGTATCCCTCGATTAAGTGTGGTGATTGACGGGACCCAGATCGCCTCGTCGCACTTTCTTTGCATTATTATTTTAAATTTAGTCATTGACAAGGTGAGAACGGCGTCGCTCTCGTTGCCTTTCGCCTGGAGTGCTCTCCAGCGCTTTACTTTTGCCGTGCTTCGGCTGCGCGTGTACGCTCCCGAGACGCTTTTGCCCTGCTTCGGCTGCGCGTGTACGCTCCCGAAACGCCGTACTGTTATCGAATAAGGCGGGACGACAAACTCCTCCCTGTCGTTCTCATTTTATTTCGTCTCAGTTTTTCGTATATTGCAACAAAAGTCTTGCATTATTCCTTTTTTCAGCGAGGACAGTACGAACTGGATGCCCTCAGCGCCGACCAGGATATGCAGCGCCCATTTCGTCGGCAATCGCCGGAACGACGCGGAAGCCCACCCATCTTACATCCCGACAATCTTTCCTCCAGTGTACAAAAAAAGGCACCCAACGTGGAGAGGGCGAAGAGGTACTAGTAACCTGATTTCTGTCTAGAGCTCTGCATTTCCGGATTTGATTTTCGATGAAAGCAGGAGGGTATTTTCGAATAAGATGTACTTTTAAAAAAGCCAAGTGAGCTGGTTGATATTTATCGTTGCAAAAAAACCAACCCGAGGCCATTATTCTGCATTTACCGGAATTGAATTTCGTGATATGCACAATTCTTTAGAATTTGACTTGAAGTAGAATATTCTCAGTTGTAAAAAGACGCACAAAGCTATTTCGCTTGTAATTAAAAGAATGTAGCACCACTCAAGCAGACTCCAGGAGGTCTCTGTTGCTGTACAAAATGACCTGTTTTACTGACAATTGTTTCAAAATTTTCCTACAGCTTTATTGTTAAATGCAAAACCCTCTCTGGGACATATGTTAAAAGTACTAATTTGTTCCCTTTATAGGCTGTTCAACAGGTCAGGACGACTTCAGCCTCAGCCACCACAGCTGGAGGCGCCTACTGTTCCCAGTTAGACGCCAAGGTCGGAGGCCACCGCCGAGGACGAGAATGATGCTGACTGGGACCCCCTCCAGATGCTGGTGGACGTTGCAGCCGAGGCGGTGCCAGAGAAGCACACGTCTACAGTGGTGAGCGATCCTGTGGCTATGTGATTGCTAAACACATTATTCAGAAACCCCCATTACAAGCAGAGGTACAAATTCTGTCTTGACATATGAATGCCCACTATTTGTTACCTCTCAATATTTACCATTATTAGTGGAGATAATTTCTTTATTTCTCGGTAGCATCAAATTTATGAGCAATATTATAGAGCCTGTTTTACCTGTTATTGCCCCATAGGGAACACAGTGTGATCCCACGCCACAGACCGGAGGACCACTGCAGCAATGGATGGCCAGGGCGGATCAACTCGGGTCACTCATGCAGAACAAATGAATGTGGTAATTTAAATGTCCTAGTTTCAAGATTACACACAACTTCAAATACTTTAGTTTCTACTTTGCATAGCTCAATTGAAAGTACTCGTATTGTCACGAATGACAGATGATGAGGCGACGAATGAACAGAAACAAAACATTTGATTTGGCAAACTTTAGCTGAAAACACTAATACAAAGAGGTAGTGTCGAAAGTCAACAGAATAGCACAATCAAGCGCAAGAGAGAGACTGACTTGTACGGCACGGCACGGCTTCCATGGGAGCCTAGAATATTCTACCTCAATGCTTCTTGCACAATATATTTTGCCCATGAATAGGCCTAGATGGTTCTCCAATTTTCCCAAACTTCTACTTTCACAAAGAAAGATAAAACTACATGCAGTGCCAGGAATTGAACCCGAACCACCTGCGTGTGAGCCGGACGTGCTGCCGACTTGGCTACGTAAGCGTGTGGCAATATGGTATAGAGGTGATTTATATTTTGCAATTTTTCTCTTCAGGTTTCAAGCACGGAGGGAGACTGGCGACGGCAGTGTGGGTTCCTTGGCTTTGAGTCGCTCAAGTCATCCGAGCACGCTCTCCAGGACCTATGTGGGGTCACCATGACTGTTTTAGTTTGTTGTTGAGCCTCACACCAGCAATCAGGTACAGAAAGAGCGACATTTCAGCTGAGGACAAACTCACCCTCTTCCTTATGAAGCTTAAACTGGGGATCAGCTTCACTGCACTAGCCGCCCTCTTCTCGGTCCACAAGACGACAGCGTCTTGAACATTCAAAGCACTACTGGACATTCTAAGCGTAAGGCTCGAGCGCTGGTTGTTTCTGCCAGCTCGAGACATCATCAAGAAGTCACTGCCACCAGCCTTCAAAACACACTATCCAGGCTGTACATTCATCATAGATTGCACAGATTCGTACTGAAACTCCCTCCGACCCTGAGCAGCATCACCACATGTACTAGAGTTACAAGAGCGGCTACGCCATCAAATTACTAATTAGCATAATTCCTAATGGCATGATTTCATTCGTATCTAAAATCTATGGGGGGCGACACAGTGACAGTCACATCACAGTAAATTCAGGGTTTCTTTGGTTTAACCCGGCGATGTCGTTTTAAGCGACAAGGGCTTTCCCAGCATCTGGACTACCATGGCTGAGAAGGGTGCTGTGCTTGTCATGCCGCCTTTCTCACTTGGAGGTCAGCAGCTTTCCCAGGAGGACATGGACAACACCTTCCACATTGCGCAGGTCCGCATCCATGTGGAGAGAGTAATTCAAAGGCTGAAAAATTTCCACATTTAGAAACACAGAATCCCGCTCACTCTAATCCCACAAATGGAACAGGTCGTCCAAGTATGCTCTGCTCTTGTGAACATGCAGGCACCAATTATAAAGAAACAAGAAGACAATAAACTATGTCTCGAACTGGGCCAAGTACGAGACATTGTTTATCTGTCTTCTTGTACCTGTTCCTTCCGTTCGTGCAGAAAATGCTACAAATATGGTAATGCACACTTTGGAGACTTCGCTCAACTGTTGGCTCCCGAAAATATTGTAATGTACAGTAACTCTAATTTCATAGTCATGTAACGGTTACAATATTTTTCTGTGTAGAAACTGGGGTTTTTGTTTTCCACAACCTCACTCGGCGCATGTTATAGTGGTGCGACCTATGTACGTTTTTCTCTATATGTATGGACTTCAGTTATGCAGCCTTGCCACAGGATGACCATGCAAATATATAAGTACTACTTATACAAAGGTGCGACTTATGTACCAACTTTTTCGTAAAAACAACCGTTTATAGGAGGTTTGGCTTATACAATGGTGCGACTTTTTTGGCTTAGATGGGTGTTGTACCAGCATGCACATTACGAGTCATCTTCTGTCATGCTTGCTGAAAGATGACGGTCACAGTGGCTCTTCTCTTTCATTCAGATGGTGGCTTCTGTCACTAGTGACGTTTTGGCAGTGTTGGGAAGTACTTTAAGTACATTGTACTCAAAGTACTACTTTAAGTAAGTTTAGAAATTTTGTACTTCAGTTGAAGTACGTTTTCTGGCTATGTACCCGTTCTCAAAGTATTTTTTCTGGTACTTTCCGGGGAAAGTAACACTCCCGACTTTTAAGTCTATTGCCAAACTTGTGTCTTGCTAAATTTGTGTAGGAGGGATATTCTCTCACCAGAAATGCAAGCAGACGCCGCATCGCTCTGTTTGTACTGGGGGCAGCTTTCCCACAGCCTTTCGAACTCTCGCTACGTCTCGCTCGATCAGCACAAGCAAGAAGGTTAAAAATATTAGGAGGACACACCTTTATAAGAGGAGACTCCTCCCCGAGAGGATTAATTGCAAAAGCTACGGGCTGACGTTATGCTCTTTTCTAGTACGTTTAAACCTCTTGGGTGCAAGCCAGTGCACACTGGACTCGCCAAAAATGGGTTTAAAGGGAAACTCCGCTCAATTCCGAGGGATAATGATTGATTTCGGAATAAAAAGCCCTAGTAAAACACACTACGTCGTTTGCTTCGCGAAAAATGGGATATATATTTTTAAATCTGATTTTAAACACGAGCGGAAATCGAAACCGAAACTTCGGCTCCGCCCGGCAACGTTGGCCTCGAGTCGCCAAGTACATGGCCATCACGTGGTACAAAATGTCACGTCATTCTTGGCCCAACGACGGGCAGGATTGGGGCGGGCGTGTGGCAGGCGCGAGTGTCGTCTGCACCGCACTCTTCGCCACGTTTTGGTGTCTACGGCATTCAACGACGTCTGCACAACTGCGGCATAAGTGTGCGCACACGTGGTGTCCGTAGTGTGGACAAAACTCCCGAGATACAATAATCACAATCGGTGAGACGACGACGACGGTTGTGACGCGGAAGACGGCGGTAAGGGCGGGATCACGGCGGGCGGTCATTGGCGTAACGCGCTGCGCAGGCGCGTTACGCCAATGACGTGGACACTGCTGAGCGCCGAGAGGCAACGTTGCTGACGTCATGCGCTACGCTCACCCGGAGAAGTGAAAACAAGCAAAAGGGGGCCATGATGATGACGTTTAGCTCAATGTTGGCTCCGCCCATGCCGTAGCCTTGACTGCGCCGTTGGTTGCGCCTGAATTCGCCCGCTCAAGTCAGCCGATTTCGGCAACTTGGCGAGTTGCAAAGTTTGCCGGACCGTTTAAGAAACATTCAGACAGAACTGCGTCGTAAGATTTTACGTGTGGTCTTCCTAGGTGATACTGAAGAGGACTGCATTGTTTTTTCAAAACCGAAAATGAAGCGGAGTTGCCCTTTAATATTGTCTTTTCCGCTCCATAGCCATACTCAATAAAGAATGTAAACAGCGAGTCTAGCTTACATTTCGTTGTGGGATGGGACCGTACGGTTATCGATATATCTAATATTGAATCCACCCTTGATGCCCTCTTACCTCAGGTGGTTGTTGGGAATGTGTAAATAGGAATTTCATACATTTGGCTGACCATCGTGTTCTGCGAGTTAGGCACACAACAGGGCATTTTAGTAAATTGTTTTCAAAGGCCCGCTGCCACTTCAGGCGCGCGCATTCAGAGAATGGATCGAAGTCGCAGCGGGAGCTCCCGCTAAATATAGCGTGGCCTGAAAACATAGTCTGCTAAAGTTCTGCAATAATTTGTGCTCACTGCTAGAAAACAGAGACCTTCTACAAGATGCCCGCGCCTAGTACATCATTTTCTTTTCCATCGATCCCTATTTGAGATAGGTTTCAGCGTGATAAGCCATTTTTTTTTTGAAGATGGAATGTTTTGCAAAGATGTAAGTCATCCTTACATATTCAAATCACCACATCTTGCACATCTGTTTTGAGCTCCTTGATCAACCGAGAATATCTATGAAACGTTCCTTCATAGGGTGCGGGGATGGATCGCAGCTCCCAAGTATGCGTTTACTTTGCCACGGGCTAAACCAAAGTAGTTCGACAGCTCAAATTCGGTGACTGCGAGGGCGCAGCCTTGCAGCTCCGTAAAACCTACACCCGAGGGGCTAGGCTTGGAGAGAGACAAAAAAATAGGGCAGATTACGCGATAGGAGCTGAAGATACCTGTAAGTCACGAGGTCGCTGCT